TTGCGCAAGAAAATGCATAGGTAGGGATGTTCTGCGTCAAAAAATGAAAGGTAGGGACGTTTTGCACAAGAACCGGAAAAAATAGGGACGTTTTGCGCCAATTACCCATAGAAAAACTTTCCCTTACAGCTTTCCATTTCCAACTCCCGGCAAATCGATTTCCTGCCGAAATCCACCAAATCGTCTGATTCGTTACTACCTAGAGATGGCACTTTGAGCATTGCAAATGATTTGAAAAAGGTAAAAGTAAAAAGAGCAAATCCATAAAAGGGATCGACGCGTTGCAGCCGCTTCCCCAAATCCGAACTCACTCCTCGGCAGATGGTTATGCCCAACTCCGGTGACAGCCAAAACCGGTCTTCACCAACTCCGGAATGCTGAGAATGGGAACCAGTTTTTTGAATTGGAGTGAGTGTTTGGAACGAAATTAATTATTAATTGTGGTTGAAATTAGTGTTTAATTTGAATTTGTAAATCATTTATCCAAATGGAGGCTAAGAAAGCATCATTCAATTTTTTCGGATTCCAGTAACTGTGAGTATAGATATTTTACGTTATGATTGAAACTTAAATTTGCATCAGTTCTCAGAATTAGAATATATTTAAAACTTCAGCTATCAACATTTAGTAGCATACAACATTGTTTGCAGGATAATTATCAGTCTAAAAATGATGATTTATACACAGCCCAACTACCGTTTTCTAGATAACATGAACATATAAGTAATACGGAGTCCAACTACAGAATTCACTTCCATGCAAATGGCAGGTTTGTGGACTTGATAATATGACGAAGATAAATACGTTCGAGAGGTCGTCGAGAGATTGATTGATGGCAGCCGGCGACGTCGATTGAAATTTCAAGTCTGAGATCAGTGGCAACATGAAAATGGCGTGGAGAAAGGAAGAAAGGGAAAGTGAATGTATCTACGGCCGTTAAGAACCTTGTATGAGTGTTTGGGAAATACTTATAATGTGAATTTGTGTTGGAGTTGGTGATCATATTGCCGATCACAACATCGTACCCATTGAAATCCTGCTGGAATAACACCATATCATATTTGGCATTCTTTATGTCGATGAGTTAGGTGACAATGTAGGACCAGTGCTCGTCGTCAATGAAAAGGAGATGATGTATAAGCTCCGATGACAAGGGTGATAGTTGGATGTCTTCCGTTGTTCAGGATATGTAGATGTCAACTAAACCATTATTGTAGTGTTATTCTCATCCCAAATGGGTTGTTATTGCCATGTTGGTGTCACTAAACCATCATTGTAGTGTTATTCTCATTGAAATTGTTACATTTTCTTGGATCACCATTTTGTGAACACTTCTATTAATGAACTTCTCGAAGTTGGCATGATTTATGTTAAAGGAATGGTTTTGTTAATATATCTTGATAGTTTTGAACATCTTTTAATTTCGACTTGTCATTGTGTTAAAATAAGCTTGTCATTTTATAATTGTTGGGAGTCGACCTAGTAATTTAACATATCAAGATTAAACTTTTCGAAACTTCATTCTATCAAGATTAAGCTTTTTGAACAATTTATTGACAAGCTTTTCATATCTAATGTCACTTTGATTAACAATTGATGTTGTTTGGTTCCAATGCAACTTTCACTCTTCATCTATGTTGACGAATGTACCACCGTGCAAGATAACAAATCTCATAACATCTCCCACCCATACCTACATGTCATCAACACAATTAGGATCAACTAACAAACAAATATCTAAAATGTTCATACTACCCGCAAGCAACATGTTAAATGCTAAATACAAAATGTTGCCTAGCTTTGCTAAGTTTTTAACGTTATTCTCGACATATGAGAAAATGTCAAGAATTGCATTTAAAGTATCATTCTTGATGTTCACAAATTGTCGAGAATGATACACATCGTTCCTGAAAACCGGGGGCAAGCAGTGTTTTGAGTGTTCCTTGGCGCTTTTCGCGTCGGGGTTCGTTAGGCCGTGCGATGGACGCTCGCGCGCACGTCGACGGAACGGGGCTCCAACGCGGGACAACGAGGTCCGTTGCACGCACGATGTTGTCCCGTACTGAAAATAAGGACGGCGTGGATTGATGGAAGAAGATCTGATCAATCAACTTGGATCAAGCCATGCAAATGAATAATTCTCAATAGTGGATTGATACCATGAATAAAGAGATAAAGTCTATAAAAGACAATGACGTTTGGTACTCATCCCATTGCTTGAAGGTGTGAAACTCATTTGTTGTAAATGGATATTTAAAATCAAGAGAGAATCAAAGGGTGATGTGAAGAGATATAAGGCTCGTCTTGTTGCAAATAACTTTAATCAAAAGGAAGATATTGACTTTAAAGAGACTTTCTCTTCAATTTCTGTAAAAGACTCTTTTAGGACTATTATGCCACTTGTGATATCTTAAGCTACGTCGATGGTTTACAAATTAAAGAAATCAATCTAAGAGCTTAAGAGACTTCCCGTCAATAGTATCACAAATTTTATCAAATAATTATCTCGTTTGGTTTTGAGAGGAATTCAGTTGATGATTGTGTATATCACAAATTCACTGGGAATAATCATATTTTTTTGGTATTGTATGTCGATGACATACTTCTTACCTGCAATGATATAAGCTTAATGTACGAAACCAAGAGATTTTTGTCATAGAATTTGAAATGAAAAATATTGGTGGCGCCTCTTTTGTATTAAGGATACAGATATGCCAGGATCATTATTGGTGTATTTTTGGATTATCACAAAAGAACTATATCAACGGGTTCTTAAAAGATTTGGGATGCATGAATATAAATTAGGTGATACCCCTATTGCTAAGAGAGACAACTTTAGTCTCAATCAATGCCCTAAGAATAAGTTTAAAGAAAAGAAAATGCAAAAAATTCTCTGTGCTTCAGGAGTTGGGAGTTTAATGTATGCTTAGGTTTACACAAATGCGGATATAACATTCATTGTTGGAATGTTGGGCAGATATTTAAGTAACTCTGGGATGGATATTTGGAAAGTAGCCAATCAGGTTTTTTGGTATATAAAGAGAACTAAGAATTACATGGTCATGGATAGGAAATCAGACCAATCGAAGATCATTCGATATTTCGATTATGGTCATGGAATATGACTATGGAATTGTCACTAGGCTGCTCATTTTGGATGGAATTAAAAGACCACTAAAGTTATTATGTGGCAATAACACTCTTGTATTCCAATAGGAACTCGACGATGTCAAAGTTTAAAGGCATCAAGTTCCTAGTTGTTAAGGAAAGAATTCAAAGTGGTCAGGTTTCTATAGAGCATATTTAGACGAACTCCATGATTGCAGATCTGTTTACTAAAGAACTACCACCCAAGGTCTTTCATGAGCATACTGCTTATATGGGTGTTGCATCTTTTGATGATAATATAGCAGTTTAGTGAAATTTTGTATTTGGTTGTTTTCCGATTCAAACACATCTTATGATTATAGATATTCGTGTTTCAGTTTCACTCTGATTAAAGTTTTAGTTTGATCACATTAAAGAATAAGGTAGGGCCAGTTGGAAATAGACATGTTTAGATCACATTACATGTTATCTCCATACTATACATCCATACTTTATCTACGTCGTTTAATTGTGTTGAAATACGTGACCATTGAAGATTTAGTTATGATACTTGTAATGAAGACCACTTTGATCCTATATCGACATAATTAATGGACGATATTGTTAGGAGATTTTTTTGGTTATGATAGAAAAATTTTTGAGCTCATAATGTTATGCACATTTATAGGGTAACATATGTGGCCCAAGTGAGATATTGTTGGGAAATATTTAATTTGCCATGTAGGCTGACATTTGTAATTAATTGTGTATAAAGACTGTCTTAAAGTTAAGCATAAAATTAAAGTGGTCTAATAAAGAATTAAGTAATTAAGCTAAAGTGTGGGCTAGATTATGGGCCAAATACATATGGAAGCTATATATAGAGTTATGATCCCTAATTCATATACAACTTCTTATTCTTTGTGTCATCTCATAAACATAATAATACAAGAGAAAACATATTGAAAAGAAAGATCCAAAAATCCAAAATCAAGAACACACAATCTACAATCAAGAATCAAGACTATGGATTGAGAAGCAAAACCAAGAACAAGAATTAAAGAATCGAAGGAGGCAAAATTCAAGATTAAAAGTGAAGAAGCTAAACATGAAAAGATTGAAGTCGATCTTTAAGTTTCAAGATCTGGAATCAAGATACAGTAATAAAGAACCATTTCCAATAAATTAAGGTATGTTCTACATTTAATAATTCTCTTGATGATTTGACATAGATGGTCTTGTAGGAAAAGTAATTAGGTTTTCTTGTTATTAAGATTTAAACTTTCATAAAATTCTAACATGAAATCTAAAAATACACCCTTATTTGAGGAAGAAATGCATAAAATTCAAACATCTTCCTCCCAAATAGTGAGATTTGTAAGTCAAAGCTTGGCTAGGCGACACGATTTGTTGATCCGATTTTTATCGTCAATAAATGGCACTGTCTATGGGAAAACTTGAACAAAGTAAATCACAAAACTTTATTATAGTCGAGAAATCTTTAGCATATGATAAAATGATTCTTACGGGGGGAAATCCAAAGGAAAACTATCACCAGAGGATAAAATCAAAGGATACTAGTAGCTATGAGCTTATGGATAGCGATGCTAATCCAAAATTGTACCGGGAAGAGAGACCGGCAAAATGGTAAATTACCATTTCTCGTGCTCAGCATCATCGTTTAAGAAAAGAAGCATCTATTGCCAAAACAATCCAGAAAATTGTTGAAATCTTAAAGGTATTAACAACGGAGGTTTCGTCTTTACATGCAAAAGTTGAGAACCCGAGAGGAAAAGTGCAAGGTGATTCGTGTAGAAACGGAGAAAAGCATGCTGTCGTTCCTTCTGGGAGAAGAGCAGCAGTCTGCAGATTTTGAGAACTGATGATAATATGATTGAAAAGAAGAGGAAATAGTCGTATGAGGATAAATCCTCAATTGGAATGTCTATAGATAAATTAAGCTCCCGCAATAGAAGATTAACTCAATACTACCATCAGGGAGATACAAAAATTTAAAACTATGTCGATACTTCGTACAACACTCTTCCAATGAATGAGTATGAATGTTAATAAGCTTGGTCACATGAGATAGATGATGATGATGAATCTATACCATTTTCCAGGAAAATCAAAGAGGTACCAATCCCGGACAATTTTGTTCGCCCTATCATAGAAAAGTACAACGAGAAAGAAAATCCTATGTATCATCTGTTTGAATATATGAAACAGATGAAATTGAAATAGGCAGGCCATGTGCTAAAGTGTCAAGGCTTCAACTTAACATTAGATAGACTAACTAAAAGTTGGTAAAACAAATTACAGCTAGTATCGATCAGAAGCTGACCGCAACTGAAGCAAGCTTTCTTAGGAGCATTTGCAAGGAGCAAAATGGGGCAAGCTCTAGCCACGCTATTGAATGACATGCGAAGGAAGAAGAAGAGTCTCCTAAAAGCTATTTTACATGGTTCAACGCTGAGTTAATAGGTTACGAGATTATATCAGATGACGGTGCATATAATATCTTTAGCCCTTGCACTAGCCACTGGTGATAAACATCTTTTCCCTAGTTTCAAAAGGTGAAATTCTACAAGATTTATTGCTCCAAGGATCATAATACAGATGAACGTTATGATGTACTAATGGTGGTTAAGTTGTAAAGTCTACATGGAGGTTCATAGGGAATGACAGAGGAAGAAGACCACAT